GAAAGGTAAGCTATAATTATGATTATTATTATGTAGCTTGTGACCCTTTTGTAAGACCTGCCTCGTATCTGTACCTATGAGATTCCTTAAATATAAAGTATGAGAATAAGATTGAAAGGATTCATGAGTTTGGGGAAAAAGAAACATATGACACCATTCTGTCCCTTGCTGCTTCTGTTTTGGGTTTACTGCAACGAGTAAACTTATTTTGAATCACAGAATATTAGAGTTAGGGGTCGGGGAAACTTTATGGATCCACCCAGTTGCTAGTGTCTGCTCACCAAAATTACTCTGCCTATATTTCATATTTATTTATTATGGTCATGTACTGTTTCCCCCAATAGAATGTCATCTCCTTGAAGAATCATTGCCTTATTTTTGACTCTGTAGTAATACCCAGAACAGTGTCAGACACCTAGTAGGTATTTAAAGTGAACATTTATTGAGTGACCATCTAATACAACCCCTTTATTTTCTGGATAAGGAAATTAAATCCCAAGGAGCCAAAATTCACATTTAGTTGTCCAAAGTTCCAGGCCAGTGTTTGTGTTTGTTTTTGTTTTCCACTACAAAGCATCTTTTTCTTGCAAAGAGTAGTTGATCTGGCACCGGGAATATAGAAAGAATACTGAATTTGGAATCAGAACTCCTGGGTTTGAATCTTGACTTACTCCTTACTAGCTTGATCTTAACCAATCCTTCTCATCTTTGAGCTGAGCTCAGTTTTACTCTCTGTATAATCAGGGTTGGACTAAATTGAAATTCTATGGTTATATCAAAAGGTACTTATCACACATGCAGCTAAAACCTATACTTCTGTTATGAGAAAATATAAGAAAAATATTCCTATTATTAATTGGAATAGAGATTTGAGGAATTTCCCCTTTCTCTAGGCAGCCCTTTTCCACTGCCCATCTGTCCCAGCCCTCTAATGCTTTTTTTTTTAAAAAAAGTAGCTTTATCCTCCAGATGCAGCTTGCCAAGTTTCTTGCATATTGTGCTTTATTCCCAGATTCAGAGCAGGTGAACCATGTACCTGGGTAGGGCACGTGAGTCTTCTAATTTTAGAATGACTTCAGCTCATTTCTTTGTCCCCAGACAATGGAATGGGGAAGAGCCTCATGGTTCTAAAAAGCTTTTGTTGAGCAAGATGCCCAATAAACAGAGGACTGGCTGGCTGGCTGGCTGGCTGACCCATATTCTCCTGATTTCCAAACAAGCACAACCTCCAAAGAGGTTTTTCCTGATTCAGGTTCTCCTTTTATCAAACTCAATTGATTTCCCCAGGTCCTACCACCGATCTCGTTCCAATCTCCTCCACCACTACCACTAAGATAATTAAAAATCGAAATGTCAATGAAGAATCACACTCAGTAATTTCTTTGGCTCCCTTCAGCAGCTGCTTTTAAAAGAACAACAAAAAAAAGCTCATGGTAAATTAATCAACCCTCCTAAGAGCTCCCCAGACATAGCTGTGTATCACTGGATTTTACAGGGGAGTGACAGGGGACACTTGGCTAGAAAGACCTCTGCCCAGAACACGAAGCACACCACCAGGAAGAGTGGAGTGTCATCTCCTAGGCCCCTGACCACACCCCCTCTCAATCATTACACTTAGGCTTATTAAAATATGAGAACCAGCCCAGCAGCCTGCGAGCTATGTAATGTTCCTAAGGCTTAGGTAAGCATCAACCTAACATCTTTGTAATCACAGTGATTCTGTCCCTCCCAAGCTACCTTAAAATGTGCCTTTTAAGAGATAGGGAACAATACATAGGAGGGAGGGATCACTTGCTGTTCTTGGGTGCTGCATCCCCCCATCCCATCCTCAAGGTGCTGTTTCCCTCCATATTGGTATGGTAGATTTAGTCAAAGAACCCTGACTCAAGCACTGATTACAACTTTCTATTCTAGGTACCTTAAACAAGTGAGTGAATCTCTCTGGGCCTCAGTTTCCTCATCTGTACAATAAGAGGGTTGAATTAAATTCATCTCTCAATTGATGATCCCATGATCCTTAAAAATTATCAACCCCTCCCTCACCCCCCCCCAAAAATACCCCTCACATACACACCCAGAAGTGACTTTATGTACTAAACCCCATGACCTTGTTTCTTCTCCTGCATCATTTTATCATCTATATACATCAGCACTTGGTTTAGAGGATCTGGAGGTGGAAGAAGCCATAGAGACCACCTGGCCCACAGCCCTCATTGTGATGGGATGAGGAAACTGGGACCAGTCAAGGCAAGGCAAGTTAGCAAGCACTCACTGAGCACCCTCTAGGTGCCAGGCAATGTACTATAAACAGAATGGCAAAAGACAGACCTTGCCCTCAAGGAGCTTACAATCTAATAGGGGAGACAACCTGAAAACAAACAACTATACACAAATAAGATATGGATAGGATAAAATGATGGTAATCTTGGAGGAAAGGCCCAGAGAGAGGAAGGGATTTGCCTAGGGCCACACAGGCTGCTAAGGAGCAGAACCAGGATTCAAACCCAGGTCCTCAGACTCCAAATCTAGGTGTCCTTTCCCTTATGCCACATTACTTTCTAATGTATACTACACTGTTATTATTTATCTTTTTGGAAGCATGGCCTGCCTTCCCAGGTAGACTGCAGATCACTTGAGGGAAAGAATCATGGCTGAAATCTATTTGCTCCTCTAGAGTCTAGCACTTAGAATCTCCAAATTTCATAGCTGGATGGGCCGTTGGAAATCATCTAGTCTAACTTCTAATGGATGCAGAAATTTCTGCCAAAATTAAATTGCTCACCTAAAGATAGACAATGAATTAGAGACAGAGCTGGGGCTAAAACTCGGGCTTCCCGACTCCCAAGCCACAGCACTCCTTTTTTTACCCCATTACCTTTGCAATACCTAGCTAGCACTAGCTGTGTGACCTTGGGCAAGTCACTTTGGCCTGTTTGCCTCAGCTTCCTCATCTGTAAAATGAGGTGGAGAAAGAAATAGCAAATCACTCCAACATCTCTACCAAGAAAACCCCAAATGGGATCATGAAGGGTCAGACATGACTGAAAACTACTTAATAACAATCTACCAAGGATTCAGTAAATGTTTGTTGGTGAAGACCTCATTCCCTCTCTGTGGGGTTTAAACAGAAGAACAGGCAGAAAGAACAGCTGTCACCTGAACAGGAAAACTGGAGGGAAGAGAAGGGAAGGGACAGAATCTTAGAACCATGGAGGTTTTGAAAGTGTATTATAAAAAATACCATCCTGGATGATAAAACTGAAAAATATAGTAGGGCCCTTGGATGTTACTTAGTCTTTAATCATTACCCAAAATGGAATCTGTTCTACAACATTTCTGACAAGTAGTCATCTGACCTCCCCTAGTAGATCTCCAGTGATGGGGAACTCACTCCCTCCTTCGGCAGCCCATTCTATCTTGGGGGAGTTCTAATTAAGGAAGTTTTGACCTCTCCATTGGATGACGGCAGAGTACATGTTAGACTTTCCATGATGTCATCCCTCAGAAGGTTAGGGTTGTACCCTGAACTCGAAATATTCATCACTAATTACCAAAGGCAAGTCAAGGATTTATCATTGAGTAATTTATCTAAATTTACCTTGACCCAATTTTAAATTTCCACTCATGTCTCTTTTACTACCCCATGGGTAAGGTAACACTGTACATCCTTTTATTTGTCCTGAGACTACTTTCCTTCAAATGTTAAAATAGGGTCCTAGGTTTTTAATGCTCTAGGAGTCCTTGAACAAGATGATGGCCAGAAAGATCATTACAGCTTAGAAGGAATTTATGGGAGCTGGGGAACAGGAGCTAGAAACACAAGATGATGAATATTCTTTTGAACATTGCTCAGTTCAGTTCTTTTTCAGTCATGTCCAACTCTTCATGACCCCACTTGGGATTTTCTTGGCAAAGATACTAGAGTGGTTTGCCATTTTCTTCTCTAGCTCATTTGACAGGTGAGAAAACTGAGGCAAACAGGGTTAGTTAAGTGACTTGCCCAGGCCACACAGCCAGCAAGTGTCTGAGGCCAGATTTGAACTCAGGAAGATGAGTCTTCCTGACTCCAGATCCAGAATTTTATCCACTGAGCCACCTAGCTGCCCTGTCTTACACATTGTATGCCTTTAATAAATGCTAGTTGGATTGGATTAAATTATTCTAAAAGCAGAGTTTTTTCCTGGCACGGGCCTGTATTCCTCCTCTCACTCCCACTACCAACTCTGCGGCTACATAAGGGGTGATAAAAGGGGAAGGTGGCTAGGGAATACTCTCTCTGGTAATGGAATCTCAAGAAGAAAACCCCCCCGAAGGGTCTAGTACAATCCCTCCACTAAAATCCTCCTCTAATACGTCACCAAGGCTTAGCGTGTACAGCTAGATCTTATATTGGTGTTGTCTTATATTAGCATGAATAAGAAATCCCTTGAAATAATCCTATTATTTGAATTCCCATAGCATATTTCCATTGCTACAACTAGAACTAACAATTTCCAGTGGTTAGAACCAATGATCATATTTTTCATGTAACTTCAAATCATTTGAATCTGAATAATGCAATAACTTCACAAGATTCTGTTCTCACACTAATTGGGACCTAGCTCTATATGCTCAGTAAAAAATTGAGAATCTGTCTTTGAAGGTTCAGCCTTGCTGAATACAGAGAGGTGGATCACCAGAGGGGTGGCTATGAGAAAAAGGAAATTTTCTTTACCAAATGACACTCATAAAGACCATCTACAAAGAAACCAAGGTTACAATCTACATTGCTGGTGGGAGTGATCAATGAAATAAAGCATCTTTCAAATACTGACATAGTTAAATCAGAGCATGTGATGCACTTGAGGACAACCACTGGACTTGAGAAGGGAAGGGGGAAATTAATCTCAGGAAGAAGCTGTGGGGTGTTCAGAGTTCAGACTTGAGTTAGTTTGTAGGGAAAGCTTTCCTTTTTATTACCTCTATGAAATGAACTTAATACAGAAGATTTAACAACTCACCACTCAAGGCAGATGTTGTATTCTCCAAAGCCTGGCACACGGCTAATAAAATACCTATGGAGATAAGAAAGAAAAGGTAAGCAAGCAACTCAAAACAAGGTCAAATAAGCAAACTAAACAAAATATAACAATCTTAAAGGACTAAGTCTTCAGAAACAAGCTTGTAAAATGGCAAACATCTGATAGTTTAAAAAAGTTGGCATGGTAAATAAAACGACCTAGCATTTATATAGTGCCTTTAAAGTTTACAAAGGACTTTACAAACACTACCTCATTTGATTGCTACAACAACCCTGGGAGGTAGATCTCTAGTTATGGATGAGGAAACTGAAGCACACCAAGGTTAAATGACTTGCCCAGGGTCATATAGTTAGTAAGTATCTGAAGTCCTATTTGAATTCAGGTCTTCCTGATGCCAGGCCCAGTGCTATATACACTGTACCACCTAGCTGCCTAGGAACAATTGAGTGAAAACTTGATATCAAAAGTGCTTTGTAACCATAAGGTCTTTTAAAAGATGTCAATTGTTATTCTTCTTCTTCTATTGTTGTAAGCTATGATTATGATCATCATCATCATCATCATCATCATGGCTCAATGGAATGAACCTGGGAGTAAAGATTACGAAGATTTAGACTTGTCTTGGCTCTACTGGTTATTTTTGTTTGTTTGTTTGTTTGTTTTTTGGTGAGCCAATCAGGGTTAAATGACTTGCACAGGGTCACACAGCTAGTGTCAAGTGTCTAAGGCCGAATTTGAACTCTAGTCCTCCTGACTCTAAGCCAAGCACTCTATCCCATTATGCCACCTTGATGCCCCTGTTCCTGACACAAAGTAAGGGCTTAACATGAATACTTGTTAACTTGATTAGTCAACGAAGGACATTGGATTAGACTGGATTTAATATTTTCTCTGACTCTAAGTCTGTGAGTCCCTGATCCTTCCACTAAGGCTGATTAAAAACCCTCTATAGCTTGTTCTTTGAGAGTCACTAGGGCAGGAAGCCCACCACCTTGTGTTCGGCCTGGTGGCAAGCCTTTTTGAATTTAGCCAGACAAATCTTTGCAAGACAGTCATCCGGTCCTGCCACTATGGGTCTGCACTTGAAGCTTCCCTGAATTGGTAGGCACTACCAGAGCATATGCTCTGCGGTCACTGCCTTAGAGGATGCCAGATCGTCCCTACACCACAATCAGACATTAGAGGAAGAGTTTGGCAAATGATTAATATTAATCATGATAATGCAAAAAGTCTGAATTGTATATTAGTTGAAACAATAAGTTCAATGAATGAATTTAAAGTGTTCAAAGAGAAATTCTATTTTGTTATTCTAATTTCAATTAGAATAAAAACAAAAGCAGGTTCCTTTTCATTTCATATTCAGGAGACCTTCCTTTTCTAACCTGGATACACTAGAAAAAAACTTAACTTGTAAGGGTAGACTCAGTTAGACAATCGTGCTCACCATGTGACTTTCCTTTTATGAAATGACAGAGCAACAAGCAGATATTTCTAACAGGAGGCATCAGAATGACATCTGAACCAGCGTTATGGGCTGTTCAACTCAGTCACCTGCAGAGCCTCCAAACTCCTGAACCAGATGCTGGCAAAATAAGCAAAGTGAGCTAATTGTGTACGTGTTGAGCATTGCAAGTACTCATTCTGATCATGCAGTTCCCTCTTGCTGTCTAAACATACTTTGCTTGTGCCAGTCAGCCACCTAATTTTGGCCACAGCTCTCAGAATTCAATCAGATAGGATGGCTTTGAAAGGGCTATTTTTGTAATCTGAGCACAAATGGTTAAAAGCAGGACATTCCTCCCCAGATCTGGGAAATCTCTTAATGGTTTAGGGCTGTCAATTGGAGGAAGTGTTCATGTTTTGACATTTGCTGGCACCTCCACAAATCACCCTGGAGGAAAGCCAGACTATGACCCATAATTATGTCAAAAGAAGATAGAGCCTAACAGTGGAATGCTTTGCATGCCTCCCTTGAGTGATTCTAATTGGCCTATTCATAGTTTCTCTCAGCACAAAAGAATAATCCACTCCCACTTCAACTCTTCCTCCCCATAGCCTACATCAACGTGAATATAGCAAAGAAGAGTTCTTTGGTTCAATGAGGACAATTTTTTTTTTGAGTCAAGAAAGGGGGAAGTCAGGAGCAAGAGAATATAAGAGATGCCAATATAAGAAATAAACCGATATAAGAAATTATACTTCCAGACTGGAATGATGCAATATAGAAATGTTGTAGGGTCAAGAAGCTAAGAACGAGTTGGGCACTCTGGTAGATTTCATCATGGTTTAGGTCCCTGGCCTTAAGGCAAGTTACTTTACCCCTTCTGTTTCTTCATCTCTAAAGATGAGGATAATAATAGCTGCCTAACTCATAAAGGTGCCCCAGGAATTAATTAATGTTTGTAAAACCATTCAGTCCTACAGATGAAAGGCACTGGGTTATTATTCATAATGCGAACAATATAGGAAGACTATTTCTTTGCATTCCCATAGAAAAGCAGCTACTTAATGACTCTGGCTTGACTCTGTAAGCCTCATTCGTGAGCCATGCCTGCTGAACTCCCTTTGGAAGTCTGGCCTCAGCTAACACCACAGACTCAGGAGCTGATGCAAGGCTGGGGAAGAAGACCACCCCTGCCTGTTGGGCCTTCCAGAGTGAGTCGTAGGAACAAACAGGGAGTAGAGGTGTAAGCACATGGTATCAATTTCCTTAATGAAAACCACCTTGCCTTGGATTTCCTCTACTTTGCTTATGAGCTTGCTTCCCTCCCTTTCTAGGTGATTTACCACCACCAGACAAAGTGAGTTCTCCAGTAAGGAGATCTCACTTGAAGGCCAAGTGAGAAAATGGTGGCAGATGTGTACCCAGGCGAGCAACAGATCCCGAAACACAGGCTCAATATAGCAAATTAGCAAACCACAATAAAATGCAGAATCCTCTCATCCTGGATGAGATCATATTAGGGTTATTTGTGTTTGTGTCTTATTCCTCTACTGGACCATAGGCTTGCGAGCTTGTCTCACCTAAGCTTCAAATTTCCTCCTAACAAGAAGCAGCACAGTGCTCTGCATACAATAATGACTTTAATAAATGTTTCGTGAATGAATGAATAGATGAACTCCCCACCCAGAATACTCAGGACATGAGGAGTCTTTATACTATGATAGGATTTAGAACTGGAAAGGAGACTTCAAAAATTATCTAGACCAATGTGGAAATATGTTTAATATGATTATACACATATAGCCTATATCAGATTGCATTCCATCTTGGGGAGGAGGTAGGGAAGGGAGTGGGGGGAAATTCAGAACTCAAAATCTTATAAAAGTAAATGTTGAAAACTAAAAATAAATAAATAATTTTTTAAAAAGAAAGTAGACAAATATATGAAAATAAAATGTGAAAAAAATAAAAATAAAGGACAATCCAAAAAAAATTATCTAGTCCAATCCCTTCCTTTTATAGACGAGGAAACTGAGGGCTAAGTGAAATGATTTGCCCAGAGTAACACAGATTGCAGAGTCAAGGTTCAAACACAGGCTCTCTCATTTTAAATCCAGTGGGGTTCCTGATGTAATTGGACACTTTCTTATCATTACCTCCAACCTAATAATAATCACACACAATTCTATAGTATTTTAATATTTATAGAAATGCTTTTCTCCTAAGTACTTTTTGAGGTGGATAGTACAAGCATTGTTTTCCCCATTTTACAGGTGAGGAAATTTAAGGCTTATAGCGAAGAAGTGATTGTTATCATCATGAGTTTGAGAGTAGGGAGAAATCATAGAAATCATTTAGTTAAATTGTGAGGTTCTGTGGTTTACAGGGGTCATAGATGTAGAATGGGAAGGGTGAACTTCAAGTCTAAACCCCTCAGGTTACAGATGAAAAAATGAAGGCCCAGACATTCCTCTATTCTTACTCCATTTTTATTCAAAATTATTTCCTTTTCAAGATGGGGAAACAGAGGCCCAGAGAGGCAGAGTGATTTGCCCCAAAGAATCATAAAAAAAAGGAGAGCTGGAAGGTGAACTCCAAGCATTGACTCTAAGTCTAGCTACTACTCCATGACATCACAGAGCATTTACTTCTGGTCACAGGTCTAGAATGTAGTGGAATTAGGACTCAAATCCATTTCTCCTAATTCTCCTAATTTCCTCTCTACTAGGCAGCCCTCTAGACATGATGAAGGGATAGTGGACAGCAAAATTCCAAATTTCTAGGTTGGCATGTTATCCAATGTGTTCAAGTTAAGCTGGACTTAAAGGGGCAAACATGGCTACCCAGCAGTTGGGCTTGGTGAAATACAGACTCTATGGTGTCTGAACAAGCTCCTCCGTGAAACATGGCTCAGCCAAAGACAAACATTATCCTGAAGATACATCTGAGAAAGGATAATGGGAAATCTTCAGAATACATGAAATTATGCTGTCTTATTTAAGAAAGGAAAATCAGAAATAAAAACCTGAAATTATAATCCTAAATAAAAATGGAGTAAGAATAGAGGAATGTCTGGGCCTTCATTTTCTCATCTGTAACCTGAGGGGTTTAGACTAGATGTTCACCCTTTCTGTTCTACATCTATGACCCCTGTAAACCACTGAACCTCACAATTTAAAAACCGTCAAAACTGTAGATGGCCAAAAGATCAAGGCAACAGGCATGGTGGGTACAGTCATGCTCAGTACATTACCAACAAAGACTTGAATACAAGAAGTAGCGTCAAAGATGTCATCCAGGACATAATAGAGATGGGCCAGTCATGTAGCAATATGGATAGATTGAGAACTTCACCACTATTGGTGAAACATTCAAAGAACCAGAGGAAGGAGTCTGTTGTTGTTTTTTTGTTTTTTGCTTTGGAAAAAAACCCTCTTTGGAAGGTTTATGGAAAGGAAGGTACTATGCTGATGAAATCATGGATCCATTGAAGTAATGAATACAAGTAATTTCTTGTCTTATAAATGGTTCATGTTTCAAAAGTTCATTTCCACATTGATTGTGTAGAAGAGAGATTAGATGATCTCTA